ACCAAAACAACAAAGTACGTTAAGTAGTAAGTTACTAGGTTAACCACCAAAACAACAAAGTACGTCAAGTAGTAAGTTACTAGGTTAACCAAAACAGCAAAGTACTTTAAGTGGCAAATTACTAGGTTAACCAATAAAACAAAAATACTTTAAGTAGCAAATTACTAGGTTAATCACCAAAACAAAAAATACTTTAAGTAGCAAGTTACTAGGTTAACCAAAACAACAAAGTACGTCAAGTAGTAAGTTACTAGGTTAACCACCAAAACAACATAGTACGTTAAATAGCAACTTACTAGGTTAACCACCAAAACAGCAAAGTACTTTAAGTGGCAACTTACTAGGTTAACCACCAAAACAACAAAGTACGTTAATTAGCAAGTTACTAGGTTAATCCCCTAAACAACAAAATAAGCTGAGTAGTAAGTTACTAGGTTAAACAGCAAAAACAAAAAGTACATTAAATAGCAACTTACTAGGTTAACCACCAAAACAGCAAAGTACTTTAAGTGGCAAATTACTGGATTAACCAACAAAACAAAACAAACTAGGTTAGTCACTATGACAACAAAATACGTTAAGTAGCAAATTACTAGGTTAGTCACTATAACAACAAAATACGTTAAGTACCAAATTACTAGGTTAGTCACTATAACAACAAAATATGTTAAGTAGCAAATTACTAGGTTAGTCACTATGACAACAAAATACGTTAAATAGCAAACTGCTAGGTTAATCAGCAAAACAATATGTTAAACCATAAAAAAGACAAAGTCCTCACTTCTGTATATGAGTTCTTTCACACAAATTTCGTGGATAATCTAAAAACACAATTTTAGCCTGGAATTTTGTAACGTTTGTAATAGTTGTTGTCAACATAGTAATTAGAAAACTTATCCAGAAAACAACAAGATTGAATTTTAATCAAAAATAACAACAATTTTATAAAATTAACCACACAACAAGATTATGCAGAAGAGAAGATAATATTCCAAAAGAAAGGTTTTAAACAAAAAGTATAACGAATTGAAGCTTTTTTTAACAAAATTTTTACATTTTCTATTTAAACGTTTTGTTTTATTTCATACTAAATAACTATATAGAGTGTTATTTAATTGTTTAAGTCAGAAAACTCTCTCTTTTAAGTAGATGTTTCAATTAGAACATTCTGAGTGTTATGCAGCTGTTTAACATAGAAAACCCTAAGTATTATGTACCCATTTCAATCAGAGAACTCTGAGTGGTATGTAGATGTTTCACTCAGAAAACTCTGAGTACTATGCAGCTATTTCGCTCAGAAAACTCTGAGTATTATATAGCCATTTCAATCAGAAAACTCTTAAGTGTTGATTAGCTTTTTCAATCAGGAAACTGAGTGTTATATAGCTGTTTCAGTCAGTGAACGTAATTGTATATTTTAGAAGTCTGTTCCAAACATCAATAATATATATATATATATATAAAGTCAGTAATGAAAAGGGTCGCATGAATCATGTCTTTATATAGTGGCACAGGATGAAGAAATAGCTTTGTTTTCTTTACCAATGATGAACTATGTAAGGTGCTATACCCGAACTGTTCCATAATCACTTGTTTCATTGTTATCAAAAATACTCGCAAGCTACTGGATAAAACAGAAGGATAAGGATTGTCACAAGAAACGAAAACTTAGGTTCTTCATCCCACATGAAACATAAGGCACATAACACATTTCTTATCAGCAACTTAAAGTATCATCCTGAGTCGTTTGTATCATGGATTTCGACTCAGGAAAAATAACGGGTTATGTTCAATAAATCTGAATGAAACAAACAAAATATTTCTCGCCTGTAGTGGTCCTCTAAATGTTAGGCCTCTGACGCATCACAAATATGAGTTATTTATTTTCTCTCTCTCTTTTTTTTTTATATTTTTTTGTATGGTATTAACATAACACAAACAGTGCAGGAAAGTGTGACATGCCACGCATATGAGTAAATGGTAAGCATTTTGAGCATTTGAACTTCTTTTTTACACTTATCCTTAGTAATAACTCTAAGCAACTGTAGCATGATGAAATAAATATCTTATTTTTTCTTTCAACGAACCTATTCCCTTCTCGTTTACACATGCGTTTAAAATGTGTTATACGAGTTTAAGAATTATTTCTTTTACCCATTTTGTCTGACGTGGCATGGTGGTTAGGGCGCTCGACTCGTAATCTGCGAGTCGCGGGATCGAAACACGTCACAGAACATTATCGCCCTTTCGGCCGCAGAGTCGTTATGATGTACAGTCAATCCCACTTTTTGTTAGTAAATAGTGTCCCAAGAGTTGACGGATTATAGGGTTGACTAGCTGCCTTCCTTATAATCTATCAGCCCCAAATTATGGACGACTAGCACAGATACCCTTATTTCGTCGTTTATATTCAGCCTTATTTCCAAATCCTTCAACATCCTCACTGTCTTTGCTCTCTCCTTCTTTTCCTGTTTCTCTGCACTTTATCTTCCATTCTTTTTTTCTATCCTTAACTTCCCAATATTTCATCATTTTCCTTTTTCCGTTCCTCTGCTTTTTTCTAGCTTCTATGGCTTTTTCTATCTTTGTTTCTTCCTTTCTTTCTTTATTTTCTTCTCTTGCTCTCTCATCTCTCTGTCCCATTCTTATATCCCCATCTTAAACCCACTTCTCTCTATCTGTCACTCATGTTCCTCTCTTTTCTTCACACTGTTCTTTCTTATGCCTTCTGTGTTGTCTATTTTAAATCCTTTTAGTGTGTCTCTCTCCCTCCCTTTCTTTCTCTGTTTCTTGTTTTTTATCGCTTTAACATTTCTCTGATTTCTATATTTGTCACTCCTCCCTCTTCACTTCTTTTCGTATTCTTCTGTTCCGCCAATTCGCTCTTTCTGTCCTTCATTTTCTTCCAAGTTGTTACTTCTCTTTGTTTCATTAATAATATTTATTTCCCTTCTTCACATTACATACTCTCATTCTTTCCTTGTTCTACCGTTTTATTCACTTTCTCTTTATTTTTCTACCGTTCATTTTCTCCTTCTTCTCTGTTCCTGACCTATATCCATCTATTACTGCCTTCGCTTTCTCTCTCTCTCTCTCTCTCTATATATATATATATAATGTACCTAATTATTTCTCCTTTAATTTTATCTTTCATTATCTCCTCTCTCTCTCTCTCTCTATCTCTTTGTTTTCTGTTGTTTGTCGCCCTATTCCTTTTATATGTACCTTATTTCTACTTGACCGGTAAGGTCTTATTGTAAACCAAATGCCAGTGTGGACTAGGGCAAAGTATGTTACGTTCTTAGTGTAAATCACATATCACTCAACGTGAGCTAGGACAAAATCGACGGTGTTTAGGTATTAAATCAAAGTCCTTTTTTTAGATGTTTCGCCGTTATTGCCATTTTTTATAATTTATTAAAGTTGGTTGGTATTTTGGTAGTGACTTGATTAAATCTTGCACAATAAATTTCGTATTTGATACAATTTAGAGGCGTCAGTTAATTTTCTGCTATTGAGGCTTGAACGTTTCTTTGGGCTAGGCTACTTGATGTACTTTTCAATAACCCACGAAGTTTGGTTCAATATTTGGTATTTTTTCACCTACAGCCTTAAAATCTGGCTATCGTCCTCTGAATGGATGACATTAGATTATTGCATAAGCGATCTGTCTTGTTTGTTGAAAGTATATGTTCTATGTCAACGTACTCTCTCTTTTCTCCGTTATTGTTTTTCTTCACTAGTCTCTTTTTGTCTCCTTTTTCTTCCCCTACCTCCTTCCCTTTCTTATTGCTCTATCTTCTTCCTCCTCCTCCCCTCAACTACTGATTTTATAGCTTCTCGTGTTTCCAACCTAGCCTGGTTGTGGCATTAATACTAAAAAAGATAACAGGCAACATGAAATGAAATACTCTGAAAACTGAAGACCTTGGAGCTTCTGACTGGAAGTTACGACTCTAGTCAGCAGTTTTTCAAGGCCCAACCAACGAACAGAATAAGAGCAGCGTGTATTGCAACACTCCAGGACATCATCAGGGCCCATATGTGTCGTCCCTGAGGTGGATCTTCGACCAATAACTTCCGGAATGACGCCCTCTTGAATAACGTTTACCTCTAGCTCAGCTGCTTCACGCTGAGGATCTTTAAACAGTCACGCGCACATTCCATTTAGGTTGAAATGTGATTTTGATAAAATAAGCTCTCTTTGCTTTCAGACAATCCGACGAAGCATTTTTAAAAGCCTTACCAAAACCCTTGGGTTGAACACTGCAAACAACTAATGTTTTATTGAAGGAAAAGTCGAATAAAAATAGTGTCTCTGCCAAGAAATTCGTATAATTAAGAAAACTCTCTTTATGATAATTTAATAGCTATAAATGTAGAAGTACAAACATAAAAATTAAAATTAATATTTGTTTCGACTACAATTCAACACAAAATCGATAACTTGATTATTCGAAACCCTGTGACGTCATTCTAACCTTTTAAAATGTCAACATTGTTTCATGGTGATCGAATTCACAATTACAAATTAGCGGACATAGAATTTTGCATTTATTTTGCCATTTTTAATAGTAGTCTTAGTGGTGGACTGGGGAATATGAAATAAATGTCACAAAATTTCTTTTACTTTTTGAAAATTGGTTACTAATTTTCAGGTTATTAAAGTTTTAAAAATTGATAATGTTGTGTTTTTTTTTCTTATTGAATTATAATCTTAGTTATGAAGTATTATATAAATATACTAGGTGAGAAATATAGATTTTTTTTATTTTCATACTTATATTACTTATTTTGATTGTTTTCGGTTCTGTTATTTGACTTTAGCTTTTTAGGTTTCTTTTGGGTGACAAGTGATTATTTACTCATTCAGTTTATTTGTTATGCTTAATGAACATCACTAGCCTAAACGTAACAACTAATCCATTGTTCTCTGAACTTCAGCCCACCAACAATAGTTTGTTATAATCTAGTCAACCGCTTCTTTTTTGTACTTTCAGTCCAGCCGCAAATGTTGGTGTGCCAAAGGATTATGGGATGATATTCGCAGAAGAGCTTCTCATTATATCAGTGATTTCACGGATGGTAGGTTGAAAAGATAACTCAAGATTGAAATAGTTATAATTAATTTTCGATGTTCGTATTTGATATTAATATGCCGCTTTAATGACTTGCTTATTAAACGATTAAAAAGACAAAATTAATGTATTTTCTTTCCTTTTCGAATAACCAATAGTAGTCGTGTTGTTAATATTGTCATTTTGCAACTCTAGTGGATTAAATTTGTTCATAAACATAAAATTCGAGCAGAAAACTCTATTTAACAGAGACTATAAGATGTTTGTATGTGAGACTTACTAAAGATCAGAACTTCAAATTTTTTACTAGGAGTCAAAGGTCGTAAGACAGTCCACAAGACAGTGTCCACTACGTTCTTCCTGTACTTTGCTTGTATTCTTCCGACGATTGCTTTTGGAGCTCTCAATGATAACAACACCAACGGAAAAATTGGTAAGATTCTTTTAAACGTTTCTTTGTTTTATTAGATAAACCAGAACGTGTCGTACACATGGTTTGATTATAGAAACGACAGAAATAACTAGCTCAAATGTTGGAAGATTGCCGCTTTATAAAAACAATATCAGCAATTAAATGCTTGAAAATCAGCTATTAAACTACAATTAGTAGTACTACAGTAACCAAGACTAGTGTAAGTGGTATCTAAGACTAGTTTTTGTGTAATTTAAATGCCCTTTACTCATCACTAATAACCTAAAATACTTTAGGTGTTTAGATAATATGTGACATACCATCGAAATAAATAATCCATTGTTTTTCAGTGGACCAACTGGGTATTTATTTATTTGCTATACTCAAAGTACAGATTTTAGTGAAAAAAAGATTAAGTACAGACCCAATAAATTCTTCCAAGCAGAACAGATGACCCCTGAATTAGGGGAAATAGTCTGTTGCAGCAGACCGTGGGCCAGAAAATGTTAACTTTCGTTTGACAACTGAGGGGGCCAATATCATTAGGTTAGAATAAGCAGAGCAGTTGTCAGATGTTGCAAAAACATAATGTTCTGGGGAAAAATACACATTAATTAGTAGCAGGCTTTTGATAAGTGCTTACTTTTCCTTCTAAAGTCTTTGGTTTGTAATCAACCTTAGTTACGCATAGGTAGCTTTGAATCACCAATTGACCAATTACACTGAAGCATTGTTTCAACATGGCAGCGTCCATGAGCTGTTGTGTTCATGTTATTGTGGAAGAAGAAAAATAACTTTACAAGGCTTTCACCTACAAGTTTCAAGAAAATTTGTGAATGTCTTAAACAGAAGTCTGCCCTAGAGAACAGGGAGAAAAATATTGTTGTGCAATTATTTATGGAAACAGGACAGTGCCCTGATTATGTGTTCCCATTCTCTGACAATTCATCCTGTATTGCATGTTCGAAAACTCTTGAAAGACTAGGCTTTGGGTACCATCGTAGTTGCTATGCTAAATTTACAAATGTTACAGGAATATCGAGTGCCAAAAACGGTTAAAGAAAGTTGAGAATGCAGCCAGTCTCCAGAAGATAGCTGATGGCTCTGCTACTCCAGAGCTGGAGCAACCCGGCACTAATTCTTTACTACGGTCAGCACTGGGATCAAAAGGATCAACCAATCTGCCTTCTACTGGAATTAGTCGTGATGGTAAACCATGTGCTGCTAGTATAGAGACTGATAGGCACAAGCGTTTAAATCTCTTTTTAGAAGAGTGTTTGATTTGCAATCAAACCAGGAAGTTTTTGACAGAAGCGTACACCCGGAAAGGAGAAACAAAGAGTTTGATATTATGTGTCACATATGAAGCTAAACATGCCCTGGAAAGGGTTGCAGATATGAAGCAGTGTGATGAGATGCATTTGAAAAATAGAGATACTGACCTAGTAGTCAGATGAGCTCAGTACCATAAGTCCCGGTATAAGACGTATACGAGGTGCGTGGCATCCTATGCTAAGCCACCTGATGAGGTAGACAAGTCTCATGAGGAGCCATTCATTCACTTATGTGAAATGGTAGTCGTAAAAAACATCATCCAGGCAGAAGAGATATACAGAATAAACACTTTGACAATATACTTTTTCAAGAGGCTGTCAGGAACAATGCAGATACCCATAGCTGATCTTCATTCAGTCAAAAAAATCGAAATTCATGTGAACTGGTTTTCAATGAATTTGAAATAATTTCATCAAAGATTCAGGAGAAACATACAACTAATGAGGAGGCTGATAGTGACTTGGAGAAAAGGTATCTTGAAAGCCTCAAAACCCTTAGCCAAGAAGAGAATGTAAATTTGTATAAAACTGCATTGTTTTTTAAAAATTGTTTTAGACAACTCCCCAACAACATTGGCCTGTGGCCTCTAATTGCAAATGTGTTTGATGATGACGCTCTTTAAACCTTTGTTTCATGTCAACTCTTCAATTTTCTTGCTTGGTGTGTGTGGGAATCAATTGATGTGAATTTTGATGAATATGTAAAGACTTCTGCCAATGTTCGCATGAAAATTTTGTCAATAGCTCAGGACATCATCTACTTGCCATCATGGCTGATGAACATCAGTATCATCTACTTGCCATCATGGCTGATGAACATCAGTGTCATCTACTTGCCATCATGGCTGATGAACATCAGTGTCATCTACTTGAGGTCCGTGATGAGAAGTTGAATATCGAAACAGTGGAGGAGCTTTGCTATGATCATGACGAAGCAGACACACGTATGGTTCTGCATGCCAGTCATGCTGGGAAGGAGTATGCCAACATCATTATCCGAAATCAAGATACGGATGTCTTTGTCCTCGCTACTGCTTTCAGTGCAAAGATCAGCAGCAGTCAGTACATGTACATGGGGCCATGATCAGACTTTACAATTGTTCCTATGAACACTATCTTAAGAAACATTGGAGAATCTGCTTGTGATGCGCTGGTAGGCTTACACTGTTTCACAGGCTGCAATAGCGTCAGTGCTTTTAAAGACAGGGGAAAGATCAAGGCAGTTAATATCATGTTTGAAAACAGTGACTACCAAAGTGTATTTCAGGCAACTGACAAAAATTGGCTGCTAGAGAACATTCGTTTTTGCAAGTTACATCGTAAGGGCTACGTACATACTGAAGTACGAAATATACAAATACCAATACAAGATTGATGTCATACTACCTCCAAACAAGGATGCTCTTGTTAACCACATTCATATGGCTAACTACCAAGTTGCAGTACACCGTCGATGCCTGCAGCAGACAATAGCTGCCCAAAGTCCAGACGGTTTCGGATGACATATTGAAAATGATGCTAAGTCTGTGCTATGGAATAGCATTCCATTTGCTCCAGAGTTTCTAATGAAACACATTTAAACTTATGCAGAAAACAAAAACGGGTGTACCCAAGGAAAGTGTTCCTGTAGAGAGAAGGGGCTCAATTTCTCAGAACTCTGCAAATGCTTGGATTGTGGAAAGAAGCATAGGCCAACTGATGACATTATTTCAGACTCTGATGACGAAAGTGATTTGGAGAGTTACTCTGATAGGAATTGCATGTATATTTACACAAGACTTGTTCCCTAAAGCCCATGTGACTGCTGTGTCACCTCGTATCAAGTAACTTTCTATGGCAAATGGCGCCATGTATCGTAAAATATTGTTGTAACATGGAGCATAAAGAAGTTGGATTGTTTGCTTGATTCTTATAAAGTGACTTCAAACACTAGAAGCTAGAGCATCCAAGTCAACCAAAGACAATTAAATTGAGAGGAGTGTAGTCGTATCATCAGTTGGTGCCAATAGAAAGATGCACACAGTCACTAGTTTCCAAGCTTTGGTAAGTCACAATATTCCTTCGGGAGGGTCACTTTAAGCATCATTTACTGGTAGATTAATTGCCACGAACATTCTATAAACGTCAAATAAGTCTCAAACATAAAATAGATATATAAAAGCTGGATGAGAGTCTTTGCAAAATTACATTGTATAAAGGAACTAGAACGTTACATTGCCAATATCACTTATTTTGCATGATATGTACAATTTTTGTTTGACAAGAAAGAGTTAACGTAAAACAAGTGGGAACAAAATTTTTTTATATTATTCAGAATAGTCTAGAGTAGTCCATTTGTAAGAAAAAATCCTGAAATTGTCCTTATAACCCTGTTTCTGGTGTTAGATCACAGTCAGAAACGCCTCCAGTAGGCGTCAAACAAAGGGTTAATATGAAAACCTCTGGAGCAATAATATGCAATTTTAGGATTCAGAACAATTTTTAAATCAGTACCCTAAAATTACTGTTTCTGTTTGGTTCCCAAAGTTCTCAAACGGATGTGAATTTCTAGACCAATCAGAAATCTTTGGTCTACAGTGAGAGTAGCTAATCTTTGTTATCACATTATTAGAATTTTTAATTTTAGACTGTACAGTAACTCTTCGTTATCATATTATTAGGATGTTTAGTCCTAGACTGTACGATACTTCTTGTTATAACACTGTAAAGAAGTTTTGCCTTACATACAGTACTTTTTGTTATCACATTATTAGAATGATTAGTCTTGGACTGTACAGTATTTATTGTTATCACATTGTTAGGTTGTTTAGTCAAAGCTGTATGGTACTTTTATGTTGTAACATTGCTAAGATGTTTAGTCTTAGACTGTACAATACTTACTGTTATCACATTACTAGATTGTTTAGTTTTAGATTGTAAAGTAACTCTTCGTTATTACATTGTTAGGATGTTTAGTCTTAGACTGTGCGCTACGTCTTGTTGTCGCACTGTAAGAATGTTTAGTTTTAGATGTACGGTACTTCTCATTATCAAAGACAAACTGTTAGACTATTCAGTACGTTTTCTTTTTATCGAACTGTTAGAATATTTAGTCTAAGGCTACAAAGCACTTATTGTTATCCCACTGTTAGGATGTTTAGTTACAGATAAGACGGCACTTATTGTTATCGCACTGTTAGGATGTTTAGTTACAGAGAGTACGGTACTTATTATTATCCCACTGTTAGGATGTTTAGTTACAGATAAGACGGTACTTATTGTTATCCCACTGTTAGGATGTTTAGTTACAGAGAGTACGGTACTTATTGTTATCACACTGTTAGGATGTTTAGTCAGAGAGAGTACGGTACTTATTTTTATCGCACTGTTAGGATGTTTAGTCAGAGAGAGTACGGTACATATTGTTATCCCACTATTAGGATCTTTAGTTACAGAGAGTACGGTACTTATTGTTATTCCACTGTTAGAATGTTTAGTTACAGAGAGTACGGTACTTATTGTTATCCCAATGTTAGGATGTTTAGTCAGAGACCTAACAGTGCGATAAAAATAAGTACCGTACCATGTTTAGTTACAGAGAGTACGGTACTTATTGTTATCCCACTGTTATAATGTTTAGTTACAGAGGGTACGGTACTTATTTTTATCGCACTGTTAGGTTGTTTAGTCACAGAATATACTGTAACT